CGCGTCCCTGCAGCCTTTCGGAGAGGATGGCCACCAGCAAGTCCTCGGGCAGCACGCAGCTCATGAAGGCCATCTCTCCCGCTGTGCTGCTATCGATGCTCAGCCATCGCCGCGCAGGGACGCAGGGAAGGGGAGAGATGGGACGACAACTGGACGAGCCCTGCAACGTCGGACACCGCAAGAAAAATAAACCACTTTGGAAATGACCGAACAATTCCGACTGCTGGGCTTGGAGCTGGAATTTCTCACTAGCGGGAGAACAGCAGCTCCAGGGGACAACTGCGGAGGGTACGTCCCTCGGCCAGCGGACCCTCAAGCTTGCGAGCCCCTGGCATGGCATCCCGCAGCCACGCTGGCCAGGACTTGCACTTTGCCAACAAACTGTTCAGACCCAGGAGGGTTTTTCTGCTGGAGCGCAGGGTTTCCTTCCCACCTCGCTCTCCGCACTACGGACCCGCCGCACCAGGCTCTGGATGACACGGAGCCTCTGCCATAAGCGGCCCCGTCACTTCTCAAAGGCAACAGAATGGTCCCGGGCATTAACCAGCACAGGTCGTGCTTTACCTGGGAGCCCATCAGATCCGTTAGAAGCTGTTTCTGGGATTGGGATGCGCGGCCATCCGCCTTCCTCTTGCTCGCTGCGGTGCTCGCCCGGCCTCGGGAACTGACGGACTGCAGGCTGACTTTGTCCCCAGAGCTGGACTGGCTTGTGTCCGGGCTGTGCTTGGCCTCGGCGCCGAACTGCAGGCTGAGGGACACGTCTGCGTTCTGACCTGCAGAGGGGACAGACAGCTTTCCCTATGGATCAAGCCAAGGATTTGACCTCCAGGACCACCGTTTCCATACCTTGCACCCATCCTGCATTCTCAATGGAGGCCGTAACACGCAGCCATGCCCTGGTTGCTGTCACCCATCTCCGCTGGAGCTAAATCCTCCACACGGGACAACTCTACCAGGACCCAGGCCCCTCTTCCCTCCAGCTCCCAACCAGGTTCGGAGCGACGCAAAACTTCCCCCGACAGATCCAAGGTCTGGGCTCAACCCTGTGGAGCTCAGGGCACCAACTGCCCAATGAAGTTCCCTAAAAGTCTCCCATCTCACGTGTTCTCACGTGGAGAACAGCACACCACGCACGAGCTGTGTGACCTGACAGCGCGTCTAGGACAGTTTCTGGAGAAAAGAGCTCATCTGCAGCGGGTGTCTCATCTGAAACTCCCCTGGGAGGTTATTCTTCCCTTCTTCTCATGTTTGTGAAGCTACACTCAAAAGTCAAGTCGTCTAGTGCTTAATGAGCCACTTCAGAAGGCTTTTTCCTTGTTAGAGTGGGCAGCGGCTCTGCCTGATGGCCCTGAGGAGCAAGCTGGATTCAGCTTTGAGGAAATATTAAAAAACCCTTCACTGCTCCTAGGAAAAGGAACATGTGCCAAGAAGCCCGGGGGCAGTAAAAGTGTCCCTGTCTAAGCCCTTAAAATAGAGACTTTTTTTTTTAATAACCAGAGATGCTTTATGAAATAGTTTTGCATTTCTACACGCCGCACCCGTGTTCCCCAAGAGACCCAAGGGCTGTCAAACTTCTTCTCTGGAGCAAGAAGCGGATGGTCACGGTGGGTTTCTGAAGCGCTGCTCTGGGTTCGGTGTTTCTCCTTACCGGCCTCCTCTGTCTCCTTGTGGCTCTGCTCGATGGCAGCCCTCACGCACAGCTCCCAGGCATGGAGCCCTGCCGAGCTGCTCCTGTCCGAGATGGCTTCTGTCACCACGGCGTCGATGGACAAGCAGGCAGCGCCGTAATATTTGGACAGGGCAACTGCTGCCGATGTTTTTCCTTGAGAGAGAAGAAAATTGCTTGGTGATACTTGCATGTGAAGAGGTTTCAGGGCTCTGGAAAGCCCCCAGACAGGATTTCGAAGTCTCAAGGACAGTTGGGAAGCGAGTGCCCCTTTTGGGGAAACCATGAGGGAAGCAGCTTGGTTAGAAGCGCTGTTCTCTCGAGCCAGGTGGGTCATCTCCAGCTCATGTTCAGCTGAGGGCTTTGTCCCTTGCGGTGACCCCAACCCTCGGCCAGGACATTGTCTCGAGCCCTGTCCCACCACTCAAACCATTTGCTCGCCTGTGCTGCTCAGCGCTGTCTCAGGCAATGCCTGGGCAAGGTTTGGGGTGAAGTATGGGCTAGGGGCTGCGCCACGAGGCAATGGGGATACAGCCACGCTGTTTGGGGGAATGAAAGCCTAGCCTACGGACATGGGATGAGCCGCGCCACTTGCACCAGCTAGGCAAAGACCTGGGACCGTTCCACATGCCAGCAGAGCTGTGCCCTGCCTTGTTTCACTTCAACTGGTCAACCAAGTGCCATGGTCCACCAAGACGTTTCTCCCCCACTTTCCCCATCCTCACAGCCAAGGACTGTGGCTCACGTACCTGTCAGGGGTGCCCCGTGGACAATGATGACGATCCCTCTGCGGTTTTGGGCTGCACGCCCTTCTGCGGAGGTATCGATGCCGAGGTGGCGGGCGATGGCCCTACAGACAGGGCTGTCGTCCAGTTCTCCCGCGGCCTCCTTGCTGCTGGCGGTGCTCTGCCGATGCTCTGCTGGGCAGAACCGTGTGTACAAGTCAGTCAGGTATAAAAGTCCACACCTGTGACCCTGATCATCCTCCCCATCCCTTCAGATCCTGGAAGAGGAGCCTCTGCCGAAACCAAGGTGACAGCCAGGGTCTCCCTGTGCCCTTCCTCGTGCAGATCAGGGTCTGCCCAGGATGCTGGGAAAGGTGCCTGGTCAGAGAACAGTAAACGGGTGGCAGAAAGAGGAAAGAAGGAGCACCTGGCAGTACCTAAAAGGACTGGGCCAAGCCTCCTCCCACGAATGGCCAACATGGTCCTCAGAGGAGATGGGTCCTGGGTTCTACTGAGCAAGGGGGGGACACGCAGGACCGGGCGTTTTACAGTCCCAAGGCAGAAGCTCCATTTGGGGGCTGAGCCATTATGCAAAACAGCTCCTCTCCTCCGGGTTCCTTTGCCAGGGAATATGCCTTAGGAATATTACACCAGGAGATCTGGCTGGGCTCTGAATTCACCAAACCAGCATTTGCAAAGAGCTCCCAGCTCTGCCCCATCTTGTCTTGCAGCGTCAGGTAGGACAGAGAACGCACTGCCCTGGAAAGGGAACAGCCTCATCCCGATCCCGGCAGCTCCGGGGAGCAAAAGGTGCTCGTTAGGCAAAGCTGGAGGAAACCTCCCTGGCCTCTCCCTCATCCCTGTCCCAGACTCTTCTCGGGATCCCGCACAGCCTTCACCGGCAAGAGTGGATTCAGGAGCGAAGATGGCACCAGGGAAGCGATGGAGGTGATGCTGAAGTCCTCTACTGAGGCCCTTTTGCCACCATGGAGATAAAAGAGGTGAAGAGCTTAGGGTTATTACCTGTGCTGCATCTTTCCTCAACACCTTCCTCCTCTTCTCCCCATTCAGATTTAGAGTCCACCTTGTTGGACTGGCTTTCGTCAAAAACGAAGGAGGGAATGACCGAGCTACGGGACGAGACGGTGCGAATGATGGCAGCAGAGTGCTTTCCTCCTTGATCTGACAGAGACTGCGCATCTTCCAAGTTTGCTGAGGAGGGACACGGGGAGGGAAGAAGAGGGTGAACACGGCCAAACAACCTGCTCTTTGCCATTTGCCGCTTTGCCCGGCCACGCGCAGAAGATGGAAAATTTCCTAAGGAGGGAAACTCCCAAGGCAGTGAGAAGCCTGTCCAGGCTGTCTCTGCCCTCAGGGGAATCTTGAGCTTGTGCTTTTGTTGCTGGGAAGGAGCAAATATAAAATAGCTAGAGATATTAGACCTGGTTCTACTGGCTGAAGAACCCATCCAGTCCTACTCTTTGTGGTTGAGGGACACAAGGGGATACCCTGATGATTTCCCCTGGTAGGAGCTCGCTTTGCCTGCACTCAGGGCTGGTAGAGGACATATGTTCACCCTGGAATTCCTCCACCAAGCTGAGGAATGGGTGGCTGCTAAAAGCATGGGCTTTCCAAGGAGAAGGAGGTCACAGAGAGCTCAGGGTAGGTGGGCAGGACTCCCTGCTGTGTCCCCACTCAGGACAGCCCAAACCCTCACCGTTATCCTGGCCTCCTGCTTCCCCAGGCTTGGACTTTGTCTGCTCATCCTGCAGCCTTTTCTGGTCCTGATAGTACTCCAGCAGCTCCGGGGGAAGCTTCTCACCCGGGGCGCGTGGCGGCAGCATTAAGATGTTGTGGCCATCGTAGTCCTTCAGCATCCGCAGGATCTGTGCGCATGGGGAAGAGAAACCATACACAGGATGTGTTTCTTCACCTCCATCACACAAACAACCAACCTATCTTCTCCTTCAGTCCCTCCTCCCAACACCACGGACCATCCAAGCCTCTCCCAGCCTGCCAGCAGAGTTGGTTAACTCTGAAATGCCACCAGGCTTTGTCCTGGGGACTATTCCCATCTCTCCGGCACAAGCCTGGGAACGCCGGAGCACCATGAAGCTACAGGAGCATGCACGTGGGGACCAGACCTTTCCTCTCACCTGCTCCTCAGCAAGGTACTGCTGGTCAAACTCCAGCGAGTAAAACTCGATGGGGAACTCGCACGGGTTCTTCACCACCACCGTCCCCTCCGCCCCAGGACTGTACGGCACCAACGGTCCCAGCTCGAGCACTGGGGGGCTGAATTCCAGCTGTGGCTCCAGCCCGTGCCCCGAGACCTGCAGCTGGAGGTGCCGGTTGCTCTGGCAAATGTTAATCTTCAGCTCGCTTCTGTAGGACTTCTGAAAAGAGAGAAGCGCAGAAAACTCCTCCATGAAGTCCCAGGTGACAGGACCTCAAATTCAACCCTTGCCCCGAGGTCAGGGGTGTTACCAGTACCTCTAAGGTGACTGGCAAACAGGCATCAACTGATAGCAGGGGCTGCAGCACCTGCACGCTGGCTCGGAGTAACCGGGATGAATCCTGGTGTGAAGCATAACTGGATGTTTGGGGATCAGACGGATCCAAAATGGACTGTCAGGTGTTTTCAGCTAGTCATGAGGGAGCACAATGCTCAAAGGTCCTCATGGGTGGGCTTGGGGGCTGCTGCACCTCCTCCTTCAGGGTTATGTTCAGCCGGCTGAACATGAGCCAGCAGCGTGCTCAGGTGGCCAAAGTGGCCAACAGCATCCTGGCTTGTAACACAAATAGTGTGGCCAGCAGGAGCAGGGATGTGATTGTGTCCCTCACTCCAAGAAGGACATTGAGGTACTGGAGTGTGTCCAGAGAAGGACAACGAAGCTGGGAAAGGCTCTGGAGCACAAGTCTGATGAGGAGCGGCTGAGGGAACTGGGGTTGGTTAGCCTGGAGAAGAGGAGGCTGAGGGGAGACCTGATGGCTCTCTGCAACTACCTCAAAGGAGGCTGTAGCCAGGTGGGGGTTGGTCTCTTCTCCTGAATAGCTAGCGAAAGAACGAGAGGAAATGGTCTCAAGTTGTGTCAGGGGAGGTTTAGATTGGATATTAGGAAGAATTTCTTCACCAAAAGAGCGGTGAGGCATTGGAACAGGCTGCCTAGAGAGGTGGTGGAGTCACCATCCCTGGAGGTGTTCAAAAAACGTGTAGACGTGGCACTTTGGGACATGGTTTAGTAGACATGGTGGTGTTGGGTCAATGGTTGGACATGATGATCTTAGTGGTCTTTTCCAACCTTAAAGGTTCTATGATTCTATGCTGCCCAGACACAGTCCTGGCTCTGCTGCATCAGGCAAACATCGGCTCTCGCTGGCTAGAAATAAGGGTCGTCACCTCTGCTCAGTGTCTGAGCCAAGATGGTTACATCTCTACCAGCAATTAAAACATCCCTGGGACTGTTCCCAGGCATGGAAGCACTCGTGTCCACGCTGTCACACGCTGCCGGTTTCCAAGTCATGCTGGCCACACTCAAACTGCCTTTGGGAACGCCCCACCATTTAACCTGACTCCAAACTGCCCGGGAACGTGCCAGGCGGCTGGGCCAGAGCCACAGGGACCGCAGGCAGCACACCGCTACGGGTGCCTGTCCTGCCGTGCCCGGGAAGGCGTCTGGCGGCCGTTTCGTTTGCTGGGACCAGCAGCAGGGTTAGCCGAGATCAGCCCTTCCAGGGTTATCCCCTGCGAGCGCACCGGCTGCTCTGCACGAGGGTGTCGCAACCTGCAGACATGTCCCTGCAAGGGGGAACGGCAGATTTTTCCCCCCTGTGCACCGAGAGGGAGTCACGCCGCAGCGCCCTGATGCTATCTGGGCAAGGTCCCCTCGGGGATGTCAAAGCGCCTCTCAGAAGAGGGTGCTGCAGGGGAAACTGAGGCACGGTGGGTACGGGGCTTGCAGAAAGCTCCACATGGAGGTTGACCTCATCTCCTGCTCCCTGTGCTGGGATCTCATTACCACGCCGCCCTGCCCGTGCTCCTGGGGGTGACACCCGCCGATCTCACCTCTTCCGTGGGTGAAAACCTGACTCGCACGTTGCATCGCTGTCCTGGAGTCAGGGATCCTGCCGAGGGCAGCGCCTCGAAGACACAGGGCTTGGTCTTCAACTCCTGCAGCAGCTTCCGATGCACGCTTGCTGGCAAACGTTTGTCCACCTGAGCACAGAAACCAACCGTGTGAGGTCTCCTTGGTCTGCGAGGACAGACTCTCGGTTCCTGCAGTGCTCCAATACACCATCACGGTGCTGAGAGCACCCACATCCAAACCAGACGTGCCCATCACGGCCTAGAACTGGAGGGGAAAACATGGAGGCAGGGCAGGCAGATGGGGAGGCACTGTCCTGGGAGGAGGAGGAATGGGTCAAGGTGGTAGAGAGGTGAGGCATCAGCTAGTGAACAGGTCCAGGTGAACCAGCCTTGCTCTGCACCCTCAAAATCTTCCTCCCACGAGCCGTAACCAAAATGCTGAGGCAGCCACAGGTGCAGAAAAGGCAAGAGAGGCAAAGAAAACCCAACCAAGACACTACGTGTTACACGTTGTCTGTGTTTTACCTTCTTAACGGGCTCATTGAAGGTGATGAACCATTTACAGGGGACCTGGAGCTGATTGTGGAGCTGGATGGTTTCTTCCTGACACTGCCCACACTGGAGAGCACAGAACTCCAGTCTGTCCCTGGAGACGCAGAGGGACGGCACAGCCACATCAGCACGGAGACGGACGTGAAACGTGGGGCCTTCCACCACCTAGTGAAGGACAAAGCATCCAGCTGAGAGCCCAGGTGACATCTGCTGCTGTCCCCAACCTGCTGTCTGCCCCGAAAGGCGGTGCAGGCACAGGGAGGTGAGGAAACACGTGGTACCTTGATGGGCAGGAGCACGTCCACCTCTCCCAATGGCAGGTTGGCGCTCTGTGGGTCAAAGCGCACTTCGAACGTCTCTGTCTCACAGTAGGGCAGGTGCTTCACGCGGTCCAGCTCCACGCTGAAACCTTGAACAGATGAAAACAAAGCAGCTGAGAGATACAAGCGACATGAAATGTGTCACAAGAACTTTAAGGCCATATGGGTGTCCTGGCTGGATGCACTGTGAAGGACCCTTTTGCATCTCCAGAGAAGCCTGCCGTTCTTTGTCCCTCATCACGGCTCAAGGAGAAAGAATTTTCACAGCCAGAATTCAAGACCCCACGGCAGAAAGGAAACATCAGCCAAGGAGCACCAGTACCCCCTTCATCAGGCATCCCAGGGAAGGATGTGCAGACCTCTCCGAAGGAGAATTTCCAGTTAAGATTCCCCTAAGCTGTGGTGCTGCCTGGAAAACAACTTAGAGGAGACACCTGACCACCCTTCAGACACAGCAAGTCACCATCTGATGCTACTCAAGGCCTGCTTCAAAAGCCTATTTTGATACACCAGGGAACCTCACGGGCTGTTTTCTCAATAAAGGCTGAAGAGAAAGGCTATGACATTATGAACTCTACACGAAGCATTTTCAAACCACAAAGGGTCCCATCCGTTTGCAGCACAAGCCCACAGAGTGCACAAAAACTCAGATGATGCTCCTGTTAGCCAAGAGCAGAAGATGCCGAGAGGTGACCAAGGCGATCAGCCCATCCAGCCCCTGCAGTGAAGCATTAGGACACTGCTGGCCAGGAGAATTCAGGCTTTAAAGCACCGAGCAGGGGAGGGACTACGGAGAAAAAAAGCTATACAAACAAGCACTCAAAAACCCTCCCCATGTCCAGTGGCTTAAGCCAAGCTCCTTCAAGCCCACGTGAAGTCCCTCCAGCACTGGTTACCTGTGTCACACAGGACCCGTCCATCGGCGTGGAAGGACACAGGGAAATGCCCGGTGTTGGTGACCTTCACGATGTGCGTGTGGATGTTACCGAGAATGACGTAGCCAAAGTCCAGGACATACTCGGGCAGCTCAGCTCTGGAAGGAGGAGCAAGGAGAGCCCTTGAACCACAGCCCGGCTATGTATCCCAGCAGATGGAAGATGCAAATAAAGTGGGTATTTCTGTATTCGCTGCTGTAAAAACTCAACTCAAGCCCATGAAACCCAAGGCCTGACCATCCGGTAGTAAGACTTTGGTAAGTCACGGGGAACGTAGGTCCTAGGTTTTATCAGCTACTAATGGGATCTTAAAATAAAATTAGTTTAAAATGGATACTGGTCACAACTCCTCTGCTACAAAAAGCCATTGTAGAAAAGTCCACTGGCTTGCTCCTGGGGAGCGTGTCAAAGCCATCAGGGTCAAACCGCTTCCGAAGTGCCCAGCTATTCCCAGCTCTGCAGACCCAAGGAGCTCTCAGGAGCCGGGGTGCACTGCTGCGTGTTACCCTCGGGGTACGGGAGTCCCTACTAACTTGAGAAGCCTCCGACGAGCACGCTGGTCAAAGGCAGCGTCCTCCAGAGAACTGGAGGCAAGAGCTTCCTGCTGCTCCAGGGCGTGCTGCTCCATCAGCATCTGCTCCATCTGCATCTGCAGCCGAGTGTCGAACTGAGGAAAGCAAGGACAGTGGCCGATTAGCAAAGGTCCTTCCCAAGGGACAGGCTTGTCTTGGAAAGATAATCCCACCCTGCTCTTGGCAAGAGGGTGATGGAGTCCCCCTGTCCTGCTGCTCAGTGTCTGCCAGGACCTTATCCGAAGGGAAACGAACTCCAGCATCTTTGCCAGCACAGTCACTGTTACAAAAGCTGATCTGGCCAGACAAACAGCCAGCCAAGCCAGGAACCCTCCAGTGCTCCAAGTATTCGCCTGCCCCCAGCCACCGCCAAAGCAGCTTGGACAAAAGCTCTCTCCAAAAGGGAACCACAACAAAGCTGATGCCTCTTGGAGATGAACACTGACAGCGTGGTGCCAGGGCACAGTCAGGCTGCTGCTATTAAGCTCTGTAAACCTGGCAGGACTTGGGCTGTGAACAACAAACACCCCAGTGATGACCTGCATCTCCACTACAAAGTACCGTAATGTCAGTCACTTGAGCATGGTCTTCAGGATCTCTCCTCGGGGTGGTCAGGAAGACCGTGCGTCCATGGGAAGGACAACTACCAGAGGTGGGCAGCCCCCTGTGGGCTTGATGTTGATGCATGACCATGGCCAGGTACGGGCAGGGAAGTCCCAAGTGCCAACAAGACACCGGGAAGCCGGCTGCGGGGTGCAAGGGGCCCAAGTGACACAGGGAGAGGGTGACACATGCCCAACAGGGGAGCAGCCCTTCTCACCACGGTGCCCGAGTCGTCCATGGGTGGCTCCGTGGCCGCAGCCTCCCCCACAACAACTGCTTCGTCTCTCTGGCTGTCTTTTTCTATCTTTTCTTTCGCCTCTTTGAGGATCTTCTCATATTTTTCATTTCCTGAAGGAAGAAAACATCCACAAATAGAAGCGTCGGCGCAGCACCATTCCCGTTTAAGTTGGGAAGTCCCACTCCCCCAGCGTTGGCCTCTCCTAGAAACATATTCCTCGAGCAACATATGGAAAGTGGATGCTGCTTTTCTTCTACGAATCCTGGCGTTCGCTCCCACCCATCTTCCTCCCCACAGAGGAGCATCTCACCCCGTGCAATGTGATGTAGATGCAACCCTGCTAAAATCCCCGCCGGCCTGCATTACAGCTTTCCCGAGTGTTTCTGTCCGGCCATCATCTTTCCAGGCCACCAACAGGTAACACTGGCAAGCTCTGCAGGATGGATCCTGGGGCAAAGCCGACATGGGCTTCCAAGAGCTTCTAGGAAGCAACCAGAGGGCTGAGTATTGGTCTGACAGCCCTGAAACCCCCAGGCTTGGTGGAGATGGGTGTGAGCTGCCCTACGGACGTGACACGAGGGGAGGAGAAAAAAAAACCCCAGGGGACCTTCCCAGGCAGTGCTCACCTTTGATTTTCCTAGGAAGGTCCAAGTAAATCCTGGGAAAACTCCCCTCGCCTTTCAGGGAGATCTCTTCTGGTTCCAGGTGACCCACTTGGATCTGGAAAGTCCTGCAGAAGACTCCAGGCACTCCCGGCAGGTAATACACTTTCAGCACTTGCTCCTTGCCCGGTCCAACGTAACCCTGCAGTGGGAGAAGAGGGAGGGAATGCGACCAAAGAGGGTTCGGCGGGGGGATGCCTCAGATGATACGTATGCTGAGAAGAGAAGGCAGGTTCTTAAAGTTAAGAGAGTATCGGATGACATCGCCTTCTAGCTTTCTTGGAAAGAAAAGCTCGTTTCTCCTACACCGGGATGCGGTTTGTCCTTTGGAAGGCTCATAAGGCTGCGTTCCCACGTCACAAGCACAGCTCTTCTGCTAACAGTGCTCACTCTCTGCTAGCAAGAGCCAGACTGAATAAATAAAAGCTGTTTTCCCAGCTGCTGTGGAAGAGGAGCGAAGTGCCCATGCTCTCAGCGGGGCCAGCAGCTCCTCTCACAGCACACCAGCAGTTCCCAGGCTGGTGTCGAAGAGCCTGACCCTTTATTAATGATCCCAACCAACAACTCCTGCCCGCGCGGTTACACCGAGGGTGCAGGAGCTGATCCAGACTCACGGTGACCTGCATCTACATCTCTGGAAAAGCAGGAGCAGAGATTAGGGCAAGATCCAGGGAAGAAGGTGTTACCATGAAGGTCACCTCCTCGCTGGGCTTCTGCAGAAGGGCTATCCGAGCCCAGGGCTGGGCTCACGCCAGCCAAGTCGAGAGCAAATAATGCTCGGGGCGACAGGACACAACCGCAGCTCTTCTCAGCTCACCCTCTGATGCTGGGCTGGACCCTCAGCTCCCTGCTCCCCTCCACACTGCAGGGAGAAGCTGCCGAGCGGGACGGATCCTGCCACTCGGCCCCCTGAGCCCTTACTCCAGCGCACAACGCAGCCGGCAGCGAAAGCGAGTCCTGCCAAGCTGCCAGGGCCGACGATGCTCTTCCAGCAACAACCGCAGGGGTCCAAGCAGAGCTGTGTCTTCGGGAGCTCGCAGGAAGAGGGCATCAGCGTGTCATCCCTTGAAACGTGAAAGCCATCCGGCTTCCTCTTCCCATTGCCAAAAGGGACAGAGAGGGGAACGCTGCTTCAGCTCAGAGGCGTGCGTGCAGAACCGAGAAGCTGGGATGGTGGGACGCTGTGAACTCCGCGCTGTTCCAGCCCCACTCCTCCCTGCCCCGCAGAGCTGCTGCAGAGCAGCAAAGCCGGAGGAGTGAGGGACCAGCACAGGGCTGCTACAAATTCTGGGAAAGGAGCTTCATGCCCAAGCAAGAGAGTATTTGAGTCCTGCTGAGTGCTGGCAGGGGGGCAGGCAGGGACAAGGAGGAAATCCTGTCCAGTCCAACCACACAACCCGGGTGAGGTGACCCTCAGGAGAGCTCGCACCGGCCGGCTCCAGTGCTGGCACAGCCAGAGCGCTCAGCGGCTGGGCTCCCAAGAGCTCCCGAAGCACTCACACCTCCTGCCGGTGGCTGCGGTACGATGGCACAGCCACCCGCCGGCAAAGGCCGTTACGGGAGTTTATCAGGACTGCGCTTGCCTGACCTGCTCTGCCCCCCAGCATCAACTGCTTACAGCCCTCTGCCCTCTCTCTCCTGGCTGGTTCTGTATTTTCTCTTTTTTTTTTTTTTTCCTCCCTACAACCCTCTCCTGGGCAGGAGGTTAATCACTTGTGCTACTCACCGTGCTGGGCACGACCAGGGGCACGCCGGGCAGAGGGCTGTCCGCAGTGGCCGCGCTGGGGCTTAGCACCACGTAGGTGAATCCCACCTTCCCGCTGTTCTGCAGGGTGACCTCCGATTCCGTGACTTCGTTAAACAGCTGGAGAGAGGACAGAGGTGCGGGAAGTTGAAGGCACAGGTCTTGCTGTTGGGAATCTCCTTTGGCTTTCATTGGGATGAGAGCTGACGAACACAACGCAGGAGAGAAGCAGGGGAAGAGGAGGTACGGGCGCTTGACTCTCCCCCAGGCTAAGCTGGGGAACCCACATCGATATTTATGGCAGCACGCAGAGGTGCAATAACCACCACGTGAAGATCAGTAATGAACAAACCAGGGGATGCCCCATCCCTGGAAACGTTCAGTCAGGCTGGACAGGGCTCTGAGCAACCCTGATCTAGTTGAAGATGTCGTTGCTCACTGCAGAGGGGTGGACTAGATAACCTCTAAAGGTGCCTTTCCAACCCAAACCATTCTACGACACAAGTCCTCCGCACTTTAAGGCGTCATCTGACAGCTAGCCGAAACACAAAGAAGGAGCATTCCTCCCACTGGGAAGCTTATCCCGTAACCAGCCCCCTCGCAGGGGGGCAGGGGATGCTCAGTGGTTTGGCAAGCGGCCCTTAACCAGCACCAAGAACCTGCTTTGCAAAGACCCTCTTCAGCCCCTGATCCATCTCCAGCGAGCTCCGCTGCCTTGGACCTCCCCCGGTTCTCAGACTGTTCCTCCTTGGGGCAGCAGTCCTCGGAGGGAGGGTCCCTGCACCGACCAGAGCCTCTTCTGCAAAGACTCCTCAGAAATTAAGGACAGATCAGGGCAATCGCCCCACTCAGCGGGGCCAGCCCCCAGTGGCCACGTTCTCAGTCGTTATCCCTCTACTCGTTTGTAGCCCATCGTTTATCTTTAAAGGGCAGCCACATACGTGCTGCGATACCTGGGTTCCGCTGTCGCTATCTGAAAGAGGCATCGAGGCATTGCAGAAGAAAAGGTGTTTGCAGAGCTTTTGCAGTGGCAGCAAAAAAGGGAGACAGACAGTGTAACACATACAGGGCCAACAGCTGGAAACATCTGTGCGGGTTTTAACTGAGAATAAGTAAAGCTGGGATTATTCTGGGACATTCCCTCCAGCTACGGTGAGTGGAAGCCCAAGTTAACTTTATCCCTGGTTTATTTTGTTGGTTAATCAAGAACATTAAAAGAGAGCATCTCCTCGGACCTCAGGCTTTAGGAGCAGATCAGCAGATGGATGTCTTGGGGCACGTCTCTCTGGAGACCACCGCTGGGATCCTGCCTGCCCCAGGAGCCAGCGTTCGTAACCTTGAAGAGGAGGAATTCCCAACTTTGGGGAGGGGGAAGGAGATGACCATTAAAAACCAGCTTGGATGCAGGACAGATCACTCAAAGGTTGTACCTCCAAGCCATATGGCCAACAAGAAAAGCTGGGAACAGTAGAAGACCCTAGGCCTAGGTGGGCAGCAACCTGCCCGTGATGGTTTCAAGGACCTTTGCCAAGAGAAGCGTGTGGTACCTGCAGCCCACAGTCGATCTCTGTGATGTCCAGGAGGTAGTTGATGAGCGAAGCCTCCCCGCTCAGCGCTATCTCATAGGTGGGGCCTCCCTCCACCCTGCACAGCGCCATGACGTGGGCGACGATGTTTGTGTGGCCAAAGAAGGTGAAGGTCACCCGTTGGCTCTCGCCCGGCTGCAGCGCACCATATAGCGGCAGGATGTCGAAAACCTGGAGGTAAGGGAGGAGAGATGGAGATGTCGAGCGTGGAAATTGATACAGGAGAGCAGCCATGGCTTGGAGCAAAGGACAGACGTGGCCAGAGGGGCAAAATCATCCTAATCTCATCCTGCATCCATTGCGCTTACTGGCGGAGGGACCATGGGAAAAATCTTCTCCCATACTTAGTAATTAATGCATTAATTAATACACTACATTAAGGTAATATGGGAGGTCTCCTGGCAGCAAGAAATTCTCTCTGCTGCAGAACTTGCCTTTAAAGCCCCCTTTTACTGCCTCTAGAGAAACACAAGGCTTGGAGGTGAGAGCCCTTGGAGCTGGGGGGAGGACTCCAGCCCAGCTCTTCTGACTCCCGGTGCTTTTCACTCCCTCTCCGATTCGCACGCTGCTCACTCTCAAGCTGCTACCGCAAAAGCTACTGTAGAAATTTCCTACCCACCGCTTGATGAGCAACAAGATGAATAACGCCCTCCTTAGCTGCCGTTACACATGTAACGTCCTTGGTCAACCCTACGTGTCCTGCATGGCCTCCCTAACGACCAGTCGCTTCAGCAGCGCTGTGCTTGGAGGGACACGAGGCCACTGTGAGCAGCACCGAGGGCCACCAGTGGGACTGGGGGGCTACATAACTGCTGGCCACACTGGAAATGTGGAAGCCAGAGAGATTCCCGCTTACCTCCTCCACTCCCAAGGCGAGGGGCTCTGCCTCCACGAACTGCATCAACTCCTTGATCCTCACGGAGCTCTGAGTCTTTGCAGCACCTTCCAGCTCCGCAGCAGCGGGTGGTAGTGGCTGGAAAACAAGCACCATGGGCTGCAGTAAGCAGCTGGTGGGGCTGGGTGAGACCACCCTGCTGTAGGCTCCACCACCTCATCAAGCCAGGAAGCAGCTGAGATGGGACCTGGGCATAAATCAAGTATGGGTATGACCATGCCATCAGTTGAGCGTGGGTCCAAGCCCACCCATGGGTGAGACATGGGCTCCATCTGTATTTCCTATGAGGAAGCTGGGTGCATCACCCAGCTCTCAGTCCTGGCAGAGACCTCAAGGGCATCTTGCCCACCTTTTGCTCACTCCTGCCCAAGGAACATGCTAGAAACCTGATGCCTGGACAGGTCAGGGTCTCCGTGACAAAAACAGGAACACAGCTGCAAGCAAAACGTATTAAGAACAGGAAGATAAGAACTTAGGAAGTGCTTGGCACAACCATCCCCTTCTAGATGGTGCTTAGGCACTTGTCAGTGCTGGAGAGCTGAGGATCTCTGCCAGGGTGTTCTTCTCAAAAGGCATCTTCGTGAAGGCGGCAGCCAAGGTATTTTTCTGTCTTCCAGCAGCTAAGAGCTGGTGTTTAACCTCAGAGGTTCCATCTTTCAAAAGGAACCTCGTCCCTGGGCTTCTGACCCCTAGTTATAAATGAGGGGTTTGTGATTGCTCTTGAAGTTTAACAACAGCCACTACTCATGTGAAGAAGTGCTTTGTGCTGTGGCCTTGACCTCAGCAGAATCTGCAAAAATATTTATGGGACATCTTTACGTTTAACCAGAGGCTATGTCCCCCCAGGAGATAAAGCACTGGGGAGGGCAGAGTCTTCTCTTTGTCATCTCTACGTTTCCAAACCTAGCAAAGCTTTGCCGAGAGCATATTCCCAAAGATGCTGACCGCACCTTTCCGAGGCCTGCGGTCTCGCAGAGAGGTTATACGGATACTGCCTTGATACAGTGATACGAGCAGAAGATGAAACTGCAATCCAGATGTATCCTTTGAAGCAATTTTGGATCCTGTTAGCCACGTCCGCTTGAATTTCCCTAGTTTATTTGTGCGTGCACGGCAACAAAGCAGGAAATAAAGATGATTTCACGTTTCTATGCAAAAATATTCAGCCATACTATTCTTTACATCTACAGGGCATCGTTTCTCCTGATTTAGAAAAAAGCTGTAGAGCTATAACCTTAAAGCTGCCGATATTTGGATGTGAGCACCTGCAACCCTTCTCCTTGAACTTAACGCCAACGTTGGCGCTTCCTGAACCTCTCGTGCTCCACATCGTTTTTTTATTGCCCCAGGAGCAGCTTCTGTCCCACACGATGCCGAAGAAGGTGCCAGATCCCACCTGCACCGAGGTCAAGCTCCAAAGCAGCGAGGAGCACCGGGAAGGGCAACAGATTAAAGGCGACTTTTTGTCCGCAAAGCCTTATTTTGTAAAAAAGGCAGCTCTGCGGCCGTCACTGCGACACTGGGTCTTGGGGGAAGGCAGAAGCGTGAAAAGGGTTGAGAAAGGGGGTACGCGGGGATTGGTACTCAGCACAGCCTGATAGAGGATGGAAACTAGAAGCATTCACATCGTGATACAGATAAAAGACTCATTTGATGGTGGAAAAAAAACCCAAACCCAAAAGAATCCCAAACCCAGCGTAGGTGAGGAGAACCGGAGTGGGGTCCTCCAAGCAAAGCCATCCTATTTCTGCCCCCCAGGAGCCCCGTGTCCAGCCACCAGCCCTGCTGCCAAGCCCGCTCTCAGGGCACGGGGCGGCAAAGGGGGAGGTTGGCACGAGTGCGGCTTTTCAGAGGAAAGCTGGAGGAGGCAATGCAGGTTGTAGGCGTAAAAGAAAATCTACCTTTGCTTCCAGGGCGTCATCTGCATCTGCTGGCTCTTGGAGAGGATCCCCCTCTGCTTCCAGAGCTTCAGCTGGCTCCTCCGCACTCCCGTCCCTGGAGCAGCTCTCTGCAGATGCTGAGCGCTCCGACCAGGCTCCCTCCTCCTTCGGTGGTTGAGGTTTGATGAAAAATTTAGGTGCTGGAGGGCTGAACCTGGAAAATAATATAACTTTGATCGTGAACCTGCAGCGGGAAGGAGGGAAGCCAGCACGAGCAGCTCCCGGGCAGGATGCGGCCCCTGGGTGCCCAGTGGTGGTGTGAGCTCAGTGACAGGTCTGACCCAGCAGCTCCAAGCCCAGGATGGAGCAGGTCGACGCGTGGGGCTGCCCAGGGACGATGCTGGTGGCCGGTCGCAAGGAGAAATGGAAGAGGACAGAGATGAACGGCTCGTGAGGAGGTAAGGGGCACAGCAGGAGAGGGAGAGAGACGCTAACTGGGCAAAAAGGTGAGACCGAGGCGCAA